GAAGGCCCTCTGGATGGCGACTTATCGCTCATGGCTAATGGGAGGGCAACCCACTTCAAACGCATGTGCCTCAGCCTTCTCCAGACTCCATTCACAGTATTCCCGCTCGTCGTCATTGGTAGGGATGTGCATCGTCGTCAACTCGTCCTCAATACCATGTTTTGCAATTTTGCTACGCAACATGATCATGAGGTCATTGATATCATATAGTTCAGACTGGAATCGGTCGATGACCCAGCGGAGGTTGAGGCCTTATACTCTTTGACCCCGATGTCCTTTCCCACCTCGAGGTCTTGCTCATACATGAACTAAGCTTGATCGGTCGCATTCCAACTTCGCCAACTCGGCCCTGTGGGTCTCTTTGACCGTAATCCATTATGCCTCTATTTCGGAATAGTCTTGGCGAGTTTCTGAATGTTTTTCACGCTCCTTCAGATAACATTACTCGTGGAACAGAGCCTTCTGTACTGAGACACCGATATGATCAACCAACTTGAGGTTTTCGACTTCGAGGCGTTGTTTCTCAGCTAGTTGGATCGCAATCTCGGTCGCGCCGCCTTCACCTCGTCCACTTTCTCACCACCTAGGCGTTGAGGGTGCCCGACTCCATCTCCAGAAAAGTTGCCCCTTGCGTAGTTCCACTTTATCCTTCTTCTCGGAGAGTTCAGAGGCAGTCATGCGGAACCCGTCCTCCGCTGCGAGACTTACCAGGGCTCTACCCAGATAGGCCTTGGCATAGCTAAACTTATGGTTGCTCGGCATGTCGGACACCCATGCCTCGTTAATCGGGTCCCACGACATCAAAGGGACCCAATCAGCGTCGATTACATGCGGCGGTTGGTGGAATTTGTTAGGAAGTTTGAGTACCTCCACTGATTGAAATTGGGCATACTAGTCCTCTGCCACTCATTTGGGCAAATTGTAGTTGGCTGCTCTCTCCTCATTGATGTGAAGATACTCCCTACCCCCTAACTAATGGATAGGGGCATCTTTCTTTTTTCTGAACTGGCCGGCGATGAGTTTCTTCTCTGTTGCCTCCCCTGCCGACCTCTTCCTTAGATTTCTTTTATTCTGGGGCTCAGCTTCCTCAACATATTTCTTCTCGACATTGGCCGCCTCTGAGTCCGACAGAATCGCCTGCAAGTTGGAGCACACGACCACTTTTGTCACCCCAACCTCAGTTTGGAGAGCAGTAAGACCCAAACTCAGGATAAGAATCTCTCATTGGTCCTCAACGTTTGATCCCTGGATAGGGGCCGAGGTAGGAGCGAGCCCAATGGTCTGGCACGGGGCCGTCCAACGACTGGCAACACCTCAGCTCTCGCTGGCGCTGGCATTACCGGAGCCCTGGCCAGCAGTGTTCCTCCTTCTTGACTGGATCAACTGCATGCATGCCATCTCAGGTTTCTTCTTGCCTTTGTTTTTGCTTTTTTCCTTTTTGGCTTGAAGGTCTGAGTTGGGATAGCGACATCGAACGTCTTTGGCTTCTTGGACAAACATAAACCCGTAATACCCGAGCAGTGGATAGTAAACTACGAAGAGAAAATGAAAAAAAAAAGATCAATTAATCAATGTTGGGATAATAAGATAAACAAGTCGGCCTAAAAAATCCAAAGTAAAATAACAGTATGCGGTTAACGTACTAGGTTTGAAATTGCAGTCGATAAGACCCAGAGTCAAACCCGTCGGCTCGAGCTATGAATCCTTCAACAAACTACGGTAACTCCAGTCTGAGTAGCTTAGTTGAAGAAGCTCCTCCATTCGTTCCCTGAACTCGTCGTTGAGTTTGGGTTCCTTCTTTCTCCGAGCTACAAAGAGGAAAGGTCCAACCTGTTAGTACATAAAAACATAGAGTCATCAGAATAATATAATAAAAGAAAGAGACTTATGGTATATAGAAAGAACTTGGGTAGGGATAGTCATCCCATCTTCCAACAATTCAAGGTTGAAGTCGGCGGACAGTCCCCCACTGACCCATAACCACTCCTCTTGAAAACCATGAAGCGTATATGGGATATCGGTGACCAACTCTCTTACTTTAAGCTTCGACTATGGATTTGCCGCACAAAAAAGTAACACTTTGGCGATACATCTGCTCTCTCTCTCTCTACTTCTCTTAAGGAGGAATATACTCCTCATCTCTTCGATTGAGGGGAATTCCCAACTTGTCTGGATATGCACCACCAGAAGTCTGATTATTTTTATCCAACTATTCGACGTAATTTGGATTAGACTAATCCCCCAGTCATGCATGTAGTCGGTGAGAATGTTGGGCAAAGGAAACATCAGACCCGACTTGATGCTTTCGGCAAAAATCCCAATGCAACCTTGAAGTGGGTAGTGGATCCTCTCTCCCAAGTAAGGGGCAAAAATTCTAACTTAGGGTGTGATCCGGGCACTATCCAGAATTTCCACCACGTCGACGTTTGTTAAGATACTGGGCTCCCCCAGTCATTCCACGTCTGTGTCAAGCCATTGACGCGTCGGCCGCCTACAGTACCCGTCCGGAGTAGCCTTAGTCTCCTCGACTTCGTGGTCTCCTTCGACATTACCCCATTTTATCTTGAGACGTTCAACAAAATGAGGGTCCCACCTGAAATATTCTATCTCCAAATCATAGTTCCCAACTCCTTTGGATGCAGATGTCGTCTGACTCCCGCCATATGTCGCTTGCTCCTCATGCGTAGAGGCTATTTCGTCGCGAATCGAAGAAACTTCAAATTAAGATGCAAACAGAAAGAATCGAAACTGAATCTTACTAAGAATTTGAAACTTCAGAAGAATGGGCAACAAAATAACTCGAACGCAATTGAAAGCGAATGAGAAAATGAAGAGGATTCGAGATATGAAGATTGTAAAGATAAAATTCTAAAAGGTGGAGAGACATGTATTTGTAGGGAATTTTCGACATACATTGGTGAACATGCGCGTGTAGCAGACAATTCTAGATATTCAAATTTTACCAATATTCAGATCCATTATACATATTAAATACATGCGCCCCTTTTCGTAACCAGCATGTCCGTCGCAACCGTCACGTATCGTTACATATTGAGGCCATTAATTAAAATCAGCCATGAGATCCAGTTTTAGTGCCAAGTATTTCAGGTCAGCCTGAGAAAACGGTGACGACATAGAAGTCTCCACAACTTGTGTGCTTTCTAATTTCGGGGACCTCTATGTTAACAACCGACCTGACCAGCCCAATCAGAAGACGCCACGTGGAAGATTTGTCAAAAGACCCCAACCGAGTACAAAGTATTAAGAGAAAAACTAACTTGGTAGATCTCAGCGTAAGTTGGGAGGAAAACCGACCTCTTCAATGCGAGGAAGACCAAATTCCATGAAGAATCGAGGTCAAGATAGATGATAAGAAACAGATGAGACGCCTGCCAATGAACCGCCCATATTTCATCATTACTTGTGGGAACGTCAGCAAACTAGTTGGATCTAGATTGTCCATTCGCATTTAATGTCGCCGAACCAACTTCGAATAAGGAGTCTGACATTGTTATAAATAGCTGCATTTATTTCTATACAAGGATCCTTTTTCCAACACACTTATTGTATACATAAAACAACTCAGTTCAGCATATAACCGACTTTCTATACACGAAACCGACTTCAAAATAATAAAAGTCCAACTTCTTTACATCTTTCTATCCACATAATCTCTATGATTATAGTTTTAAAAATTCACGTAATAACACATGTAAAAGCATTGACCAAGTGCTAAAATGAAATAAAAACAAAATATTTGAATAGAGTTCAAAAGAAAATAATTAATTATAATATTTTATCCAAAATCCCAACATATTAATCTACTACTAAGTCCTAGAATCAAATAAACTAGCCACTCATGTTTCAATTCAAATACATTGACATATTAGAATTCGACATGATAAATAAAATTTGAAAAGAAAGAAGAAAAAAAAAAAAACTAGGAATCTCGTTGATTCTCTCAATCACTTTGATTCCTTCGTAATTAAATCTTCTTTACTTCTCAATTGTCTCTCTTGTGTGTTCTATGGCTCCTCCTCTTGTGTATCACGTTGTACTCCCTCAAAATAGGGTAAATATTTCTTTTATAACGTCCAGAAACCTTCTTCTTTTCACAATAGGCAAGAAATAAAAACAATTTGAGCGTGCAACACGACCATTTTGTCTGTGTCGCTACCCGTGTCACATATAATGTTTCGAAATCTCCCTGTTGGTGTGACACAGCCTCTGACACATACATAATGCTCGTGTCGTCGCTTGTGGCACAAATTTGTACACTACCTCTTGCTTGTTTGATTCGTTTCTTCAATTTTTTTCATCCGTGCATCAATTTTTCATCATTTGGGAATCTTATGTACTCACTATGCGCCTCCAATAGCCAAAAGCTCTACAAAATTATAGAAATATCTACAAAACAAGCACGTGTAATATATTTCCAAACAAAATATAGAATTAAAGCTCCATAATACAATTTATACACTAATAATACAATGAATAATATCGGTATACTACATAAATATGGTTTAAAATCACATATAAAAAGGGGAGTAGTGTTTTGCTACCCCGGTTGTTGCCTATCTATCGCATGTGATAGAGACGGTACTTGTATTCAGTTGAAGACTTTTGTGTACTTTTTCGAGTGTTTAATCTTTTGTTTGCCT